CTTCCGTTTTCCCTTTTCTCTTCCCTCTTCCTCCTTCTTTCTCCTACTCTTCTTCTTCCTCCTCCTCCTCCTCCACCTCCCTACCCTCTCCATCCTTTCTTTCTTCCTTTCTCCTCCTCCTCCTGCCTCGTCCGTCTTCCTCCTCCTTCCCCTTGTTCTGCCTCACTGCCTTTCCCTTCGTCTTCCTCCTCCCTCATTCCTCCTTCCCCTCCTTCCTCCTCCCTCCTTCTTCCTCCGTTCTCTCCTTTCCCTTCCTTCTTGCTCTGCTTCATCGTACTCTTTGCCTGTGGTACCTGTGCTTTCTCCTTCTCCGCATCCTCCGTCTCCCTGTCCTCCCTCGCCCCCTCCCTTCCTCAAGAACAGGAGTGGTACACTGAGAATGGTGCAGGAGGTGCTCGGCGCGTGGTACGAACGTGATATTCTGTTTTCGGGAGTCAGCAGGCAGCTTGTAGCGAACATCGCGCACACAGTACGTTCGATATATGTTCCCAAAGGTGACCAGACGTACGTCAACACATGCGTCCCATGTGTCGGAACATGTCGCATTGCAACAGCCCAGAATATGGTACCGAATAATGTAGTACGGCGTGCGTATTTTAGAGAAGGTTGTTGATCATCCAGCGTGTAGTTCGCATATGCCGCGGACTCAGCACTTGCCTGCAGTGGCTAACTTAGCGGCAGTAGGAATTTCCTGGCACATCTACAATCGCCGCAAGTGGTCTCGAAGAGACACATGCACATATGGTGAGCAGCCAGCTAAGTGTTTGTGTTTGACCCCCGATCGCGGGATCGTTCGGCCCGCCTCGCGATGGACATGCCCGATGCCGCGTCGGGCCCCTCCGCGCTCATGCATATGTATACATGAATCGTCCGCAGCCCGACGAGTCGCCCACCGAATGGTGCCGTCGCGACGCCGACGCAGTCCGACCTGAGAGACTGGCAAGCCACTGAAGCTTTTAGACAAAGCTCAACTTGAAGCCCTAGACAAGCTCAACCTGTCGTAAAGCTCAACCGAGTTGCACGCATTCCGCACACAGATATGCGAGATCCTAGAGCCGGGGCTCCACGGCGCACCCTGTCCTGTACACTTCCGGGTCCCCGCCTCCCCCCACCCCCGCCGGGTGTGCCCCGGCCTGCCCGGAGGGCCCCAAGATGGCCCCAAGTGCCCGCCGACATGTGCCAAGAGCGATTCCAGAGACGACTCCACGAAAGCCCGGGCGGGCCCCAAAAAGGCTCCAAGACGGCTGACAACGACCCCATGTACATATACAGCGGCCCCAAGAGCCCCAGGCCGCCTCAAAGGGTCCAACGGCGCCAGAGGTCCTTGCGTGTTTGCTGTGGATGGGGCCTCAAGCGAAAAGCGGAGGAGGCTACGTTTCGCCCTCCAGGGGCTTTGCGGGCCAATTTGCCTACGGTGCGGCATTGAGCGAGCATCGTCGATGACGGTGGCCAGAGGTGGAGCGGAGAGATCCAGTTTGCGCGGGCCGCCGCCCGCGGCCAATCGCAAGGCCGCCTCGGGTGTGCGCGGAGCGGCGTCTCCGCCGCCGCCCAGGGGAGCAGCCAGGTGCCAGAGGTCCGCCGCCCGAAGCAGCCCCCGGCCAGAGGCGACGGGCGACCCGGCCGCGGCCGCGCCAGCGCTCCTGGAGCTCTCGCGGGGCTACCTCGGGCAGATGCGGGAGCTCTCCCGCCAGCCGTTGTCGCCGCCGTTGTCGCCGTCGTCGCCGCCGTCGTCGCCGTCGTCGTCGCCGTCGCCGCCGTCGCCGCCGCCGTCGCCGCCGCCGTCGCCACAGCCGTCGCCGCCGCGTCGCCGTCGTCGTCAGCACCAGCGGCGTTGGCGCCGTCGCCCGCGGCGGTGGCGTCGCCGCCGCCGTCTTTTTGGGGCCTCTCGCGGGGCGGCCGCGGGCAGGCGCGGGAGCTTTCCCAGCTGGGAGCAGGAAGCGCCAGCACCGGGGCACTCCAGGAAGGGCCTCGCCTTCGAGTTATCGAGAGGTCCACCTCTCCTCCTCCTCCTCCTCCTCCTCCTCCTCCTCCTCCTTTCCTCCTCCTCCTCCTCCTCCTCCTCCTTTCCTCCTCCTCCTCCTCCTCCTCCTCCTCGTCCAGGACTCGTGGCGGTGGCGGGCTCGCGGCGGCTCTTCCACGACGGAAGGCCAGCGGAAGCTGGCGGAGACAGAACGAAAACCTTATCGGCTTAAAGCTTCATCGGCCGCCCCCCTTCCGAACTTGGTCGTCAAACCCAGCCCGACCGTGCGCAATGGCTTCCGTGCGCCGTCTGGCAGTGCCACTGCAATACGAAGCAACGCCTCGACCGCTTGGTACGAGAACCACGAGGATTTTGCGATCACCGGGGGCAGCCATGTCTTCGCCTACGGCCGTAGGCACCTTCGTCCTCGCATCCGTGGCCAGCCACGTCTTTGCCGCTGTGGACAACCACGTTTTCGGTAACGCAACCAACGGAATGACATTTTTGGTCGATTACACCTTCGGGCAGTACTGCTGCGACGACGGTCTGGTGCACTCCTATTTGTTGTTCCGTGTCGGTAGGCGGAGCGCTGACCAGCGGTCTGACTGGTCTGGACTTCCATGTGTTGGGAGCAAAAGGAGCTCGAACTATTGGGAACCACAAGGACACGTGGGGAGGTGCAGCGTCCTCGGCGGGTAATGCGCGCTGTGCGTCTTTGGAGATGGTTCCCATGATCCTCAGTTGCCGTCGTCGCTTCGCTAAGGAACTTTTTCTAAGTGGCATGCGCCTTGACTTCCTAGCCTTCGCTGTTGGGCATTCCCTCACTCACGGCGAGCCCATTCTTTTTGTTTGTCGGCTGAGTCAGGCTGTTGGGTAGGCTTCGCATTGCAACGAGTTGCTGCGCCTCGGGAGAGCGACGGCCCACAGCATCTCTCGCTACGCACCTCTGATGACAAGGGAAAGGCGCCGACCGTTTGCAGTGACCTCTCGAGGCCCTCTGCCCTGGGAGGGTGCGCCTCCAGCCTGCCCCCTCGGCGTCTTCCTTTCCCTTTCGCAGCAGGTCTTTAGGCGGGCCTTCGGGGCGCTTTCGGAGTTGCCCCGAGTTTTGCCGACTGGTCAAAGCTCAGGAGGGGAAAAACACAGACACAATTAATCGCCGATCTCCCAGAACATATGGGAAAATATGGGAAGTGGGGGGGCAGAGGAAAAACACGAAGATATGGGAAACTATGGGGAATCCTGTTGATTCGTGTCTACTTCTTTGTGCGTCCCGGGGCCACTTCGAAAGTTGTGACATGACATTCCGTCGTCGGCCGCGCGGCCGGGGCAGAGCTCCTCCTCCTCCCTCGCCCGTTCTCTCTTACGCTGGTCTCCTCCCTCGCCCGTCGGCGTTGGCGAATCTCAGAGTAGTGTGCCGGTCGCCGCTCCTCGGCGTGGCTGGATGGCCGCCAGCGCCTGCAGAAAGGGGGCCACGGGCGCCTCTCCTGCACGGGCCGCCTCCGCGGAGGCGGGGGCGCGTATGGGGGCGGGAACTGGAGGGTCCGCAGGGCGAGCGCCTTCGTGGCCCCGCTCCGCCATCCCCATTTTGCGCAGCCTCTGGGGCCCCCCATGCTCGATAGGAGTACGCGCCGGTCGTCGACAGTAGGTTTTTTTTGTGGATTTTCGTAGTCCGATCTGCCTCCAGCGCTCTTTCTTGCTTCAGGGGTCGATCTGCTTCTGCTGTGCTGTGCTGTTCCTTGGGAGGGCCTGGACCCAATCTGTTCGAGTGGCTTGCGCCGTTCCGCCGGCCCCACAAGGATTGAGGCCTGTCTTGGGTCAGGGGCGTGCTGGAGGAGTTTGAAGATCTCTTGGGATGCCTCCTCCTCCTCCGCCTCCTCCTCCTCCTTCTCTCTGGGGCCTCTAGGAGAACTCTTGGTGGCATGTGTGGGAGGCTTTTGGGGGCCTCGTGGGGGCCTCTGGGGGCTTCTTTGGGGGCGTCTCGGGGACCCCTTGTGGCCTCTTGGAGGGCCCTCTGGGGCCTTTGGGAGGCTCGAGAGGCCATCTCGGTGGGAAAGGCTCGAAATCTCAGTTCGCATTCCTCTTCCAGGGGCTGTCTTGGGCCTTCCCCCGTCTTGGGGGGCCCCTGGGGCTGTCTTTGGGCCCTCTTGGGCCGTCTTTGGTCACGGGCCGTCTTGTGACGATCTTGGGGGCCACTTGGGCCGTCGTGTTCGCTGTCAAAGCGTCGAATGCGAATGTGCTGAACATGGTGCGTTTCTCCTGGGGAGTTGGATGGTTGTGGCCTCTTGGGGTCCTTTCGGCGATCCTCTGGAGGCGCTTTTGGGTTGTCTGGGGGGCCTCGTGGGCCATCTCGAAGCCATCTTGGATCGTCGAGGGGGTACTTTGGGCCGTCATGACGCTTTCTTCGACTGTCTTGGCGCTCTGCCTGGGCCCTGTTGCGCTGTCTTGGGGGCTTTTTGGGGCTCCGGAGACCCGTGGGGTGCGTTGACGGGCTGGTCCCCCGTCTCCCCCCCTCCCTTAGAGTGGCATGTTGGGCCCCAGAGGAGGGGGAAAGGGGGAGGGGGACAGCCAAATGTTTCATATTCCTTTGCGCCCCCGGAAAGCGGGGGTCGGCGAAAGGGTGTGGGATATACGTGTTGACTGGCACGCGAGCAGATGAGGGCGAACATCTTAACATTATTATTAATATTATTATTATTATTGTTGTTGTTATTGCTATGTTGTTGTATCATGTCTGAAGAATCATATTTGTTGATCCCCCGGTAACCATTGCATTTGTTCGATTAAAGTGCTTCTCCCGGGGCTCGCGCACTTTTTTTTACAAGGGAAAGTGAGGGATCACCAAACTGGGTCCCTGGACTCGGTTTTCAACAACAGCGGCTCCCGCCTAATACTTTTTCTGAATGTATTGTCAAATCGCGCTCTCGCGCGGGACTTTCCCACAATTTATACAGGAATCGCGCTCTCGCGTTGGACTTCATCGCAATTTATTCAGACGCCGCGCCCTCGACACTCATCAGTCACGATCTCGCTGTGGATGTCC